GGAAGGAAGGAAGGAAGGAAGGAGGGAGGGAAGGAAGGAGGGAAGGAAAGCACCCTCACCCGCCTGCCCAAGTACTAAGGACTCAGGCCAGGGGATGCCAACGTTTAAGAGATCAGGGAGTCAATTAGGAAAAAAACTAAAAAGGAGCAGTTAGACTTGGGAGAAAAACCAGATACTCATGGTATCCTAGATGTCAAGTGAACAGTTTCAAGGAAGAAGTGACCAATCATGTCAAATGCTGCTGAGCGATCAAGATGACAAAGGACTTTTAAACAATACATTAAGCAATGTGGAAGTCATTGATGACCTTGGTAACAGCAGTTCACAGGGAAATAAGAGCAAACATCTAATAGAAAGGATTTAGAAGAATCAGAGGAGACAAATTAAAGACACTGAGTATAAGGCAACTTTCTGCAGTTTTGCTGTAAACAGAAGAGAGAAACAAGGCAGTAGCTGGAGAGACACAGGCCCAAGAGAGGGGTTCTTTTATGACGGCTCATGTAACAGCATGTTACCAAATGGCAGGTTGATGAGCACCACCTGGTGGAGAGGGAAAACGTAATGTAAAAGAAAGGACATAGGGCTGAAGTAACACCCTTAGATACCCAAGAACAGAATCTAAAACACAATAGATGGATTGGTCTCAGCGAGGAACACAGAGTCCATCCACACAAGAGAGAAGACAGAGCATAACAGGCAGACCTCTTTAAGAGTCCCCTGACACATTCTACTAGCCTATAATGATGCTATCCTAGGAGGTGTATTTTCAGTATCCCTATTTTACAGATGAGAAAACCAAGGAACGGAGGTTATGGAACAGCTAGTATAGACAGTCAACAAGTTGGCAGAGCCTGAATTTGAAACCTTGTAAGCTGATTCCAAAATCTTTGCTCTCAAGTATTACATTATACTTCCTCTTCACATGACAAAAAATTCTCTGAACATAATATTCTAATACTAATAGCTGGACTCGACACTGAATGCCACAAAATGTACTAGCAGAGTCTCTATGAGGGCTTAGAGAAAGACCTCAGGCTTTAGGGTCAGACAAGAGTTGGTTTTGAATCTTGGCTTCTGTCCTTAACTACTCTACCCAACCCTAGGAAAATTATTCTTTGAGCCTCTATCTCCTGAACTGTAAAAAATACAAGAGACTAAGTACCTAGCATCTTGCTCAAGGTCATACTAGATATTTAATAAGCAGTAATATTGTTAGTATGATCTTCCTATTGCCCTCCTCCAATCTTCCCTGGGTTCCTCCTATTTCTTAGTCTCTAACATTATTCCCTTCCTATAATACTTACTTTTCTTTCAGCACCTTGACCTCATGTATCTTCTTACCTGTTGCCTGCCAAATTATTCACTACTTAAAAGATCTCAGAGGCCTAGCAGAAGTAAACATCAACTAGACTCTACTATGTTTCTTTCAAATCAGGCAGTACTGACTCTGAAATTCCCTCAGTTTAAAAATAGCCTAGTTTCTGTCTCGTTAGCCATGTAGGCTAATTTTAACCCTGGAGCAGAGCCTAGAGGCTAAAAGAGCCTATGACTCAAACCACCACAACTTAATATCATTACTTTGACAATTTTATGTTTAAATATTACAAATTAGATCACATACATGATAAAATACTCAAAACATTAAAAAGCTCTATTCTCACCTGCAAAGTGAAGTGCTAAATCTCGATACAGTTCTCTACTCATGTTTTGAAACTCAGCCTCCTGCCACACTTTCCCGTCAGGTGTTCGAATCTTGGTCTCTGAAGGGTTGAAACCTAATGTACACCAATAATAGAGAACATTTTTATAAAGTTGCCTTATAAGTTTTTTTATCCTTTTTAAAGTGAGATATAATTAACATACAATAAAACTTGCTCTTTTAAAGTGCACAACTGAGTGATATTTAGTATATTCACAAAATTGTGCAACTACCATCATTATTTAACTCCAGAGTATTTAATTACACTGAAAAGAAACCCTGTACCTATAAGCAGTCACTCTCCACATGAGCCCCTCCATCCCCTGCCAACTACTAATCTACTTTCTATATTTATGGATTTGCCTATTCTGGACATTTCATTAAAATAGAATCATGCAACATGTAGTCTTTTGTGTCTGGCTTATTTTTATTTCACTCAGCATAATGCTTTCAAGGTTCAACCATCATGTAACATCTATCAGGGATTTATTTTTTTTATTGCCAAGTGATATTCCATTGTATGAATAGATCAACATTCTGTTTATCCATTCATCAGCCCATGGACATTTGGGTTGTTTCTACTTTTTGGCCATTATTAATAATGCTGCTATGAACACTCTTGCAAAAGATTTTGTGTCAATATGCTTTCAATTCCCTTGGGTATTATACCTAGGAGTAGAATTGCTAGGTCACATGGTAATTCTACGTTTAACTTTTTGAGCAACCGCCAAAAAACTTGCTAATACAGCTGTACCATTTTACATTCTCAACAGCAACATATGAGGGTTCCAATTTCTCTGCGTCCTCGCCAATACTTGTTACTGTCTGTCTTTTTTTATTACAGCCACCCTAGTGAATATCTCATTGTGGTTTTGATTTGCATTTCCCTAATAACTAGTCATGAACAGATTTATACGCTTTTAAAAGAGGAATGCATAATTAGCTATCACATAACGTGCTGACACACACCATTTAGGAAAAGTAAGCATCAGTGAGATAAAGCAATATACAGTCATTCAAAAAGGCTAGAAGGGAAGAAGCATAAGTTAACTGATAAAAGAATACCAATCTTACGTTGCAAATTTCAGAGAGACAAATTATTCTTCTCCAGATTAAAACAGAGACGATACTATTTATTCCTCTTGTCTTTGAAGACAGGTGTTGATCGCTACCACCTGTCCGTTTTTGCCTGTTGCTGAATGGATGGACAAGCTGCTGCCTATACAGGCAAATTGTACCAAAGTGTGGAAACAGGTCTTTAAAATCAATTGTTCACTTTCTCAAGAAACATTACACATGTGCTATTTCCTAGGAATTACTATTCTGATTTTCCACTCCAAATTTATCACTGCTCTTTAAGCAATACACTGAACTTTGAATTCTATTTTGCAAAACAATAATAATGAATATGGACGATAACCAAAATAGTATGGACAATAACCAAAATACATATTTTAAGATTGGCTCAACTTATCAAAGAATTCGCAACCCATAAATATTTGTAGAATTAAATCAACAGGCTGGAGTCAAAAACTGGTAATGGTATTTACAGGTATTAGATTGAATGTACTGGTAAATTAATTACACGCCTAATAGAAAATAATCTATTCAGCTCTTAGGCACTATAGCCTGAGTTTACTCCTCCTGACATCTGTGGCAAGGGACGCACAATTATGTCTGTATCTATATCAGGAAAAACTGTGTGAACACTGTATTCAGTTTATCGCAAAACGGTCCGCCACAGGAAAGTGTGGCAATCCTGCCCCGCTACCTGAGGATCGACTGCCTTCGTGACTGACACACTAGCTATCCAGACCAGGAAGTTCATGACGAACCAACTACTTTAGGGGAAACAAACATGTCCTTCACCCCAGGAAGGCAACAGTACTAAAGTCAGAAATTCGGAAAAAAGCTAGACAAAATATACAAAACTACACCAGCATCATCTTTGTACAAACATATTTGGATTCGGAACCCATCTTGGAGGTGGCAAGGTAACTGGCTTTGGCGTGATTTGTGATTCCTTAGACCACGCAATGAAAAATGAAACCAAGCATAGCATGGACTTGCGAGACACGCCTGTAGGAGCAGAGAAAAGACCTCACGGAAACAGCAAGAGGAGCAGAACAGAATGGCGAGAGTCAGAGGGACTGCAAAGGCCTGTGCTGGTGCTGCCAACAACAGGAGTCAAGGAGTAAAGACTCTGTCATGACTTTATCTGTGGTGACTGTGTGGACTTTCCATAGGGTTAATAAACTGTAAAAACTTTCAAAAACAGACAAAAAAGCCAGGAGTGGTGGCATGTGCGTACAGTCCAAGTGACCTGGGAGGCTGAGGAAGGAGGATCACTTGAGCCCAGGAGTTCAAATCCAGCCAAGGCAACACAGCGAGACCGTCTCCAAACATTAAAAAAAAAAAAGTAAGTGTGGCAATTCCACACACATCTATCTCTTTTAACCTTTTCTCTTCACCACCACCCCCATCCGGTCTCTGTACATTCGACCCTGAAATTTTTTTCTCCTCTCCTCCTTAGGAAATACTCATCTCTATGTGATTCATCTCCTGTACCTGCATCTTTACTTGCACATTAAATTTAAGAAGACTTTGATATCTGCATTCATTTTTCTTTCTGTCCCCAAGTCTTCATTTCCGTTACTTTGCACACTTTCCCTACCGGCTGGGTTTATTGGACGGAACAAGGAATTCACTGTGCTGTGCACTTACGTGTGTCCACGACACCCTTCTAGGCTCCGAGACAAAGTAAGAATGACCAAGACAGGCTCTTTAACCTCATGGGCACTTACACCAGAAAGAAAAAGACATACAAACATCTATATTCAATACAAGAAAGAATCACATAAACAACCACTCATGTTCACCATTTCGAATTTTTTAAGCAGAATCATAGAACAATTCCTATGTCTCCTTTAAAAATAAATAATAAAGGTGCAGAATGGGTTTAGTACCCTACTAACTACATTAAAAGAGGAAGAAAGTAAATACACACACATTCGCTTACTTGCGTGTGTATGCAAAAATTATCTCTGAAAGGATACACAAATTATTAGCACACACAACCTTCAAAAAGGGGACCGGCAATTGGAGCACAAGAGTGACAGAGCTTTTCAAGGTACACCCTTCTTATCTTTTGAACTGTGAACCAAGTGAATTCATTATGTGTTCAAACAAATACAGTATTTTCAGATGCTTTCAATTTATACTGTCAAAAAGTTGACAGAAAAACAGTTCTTCATTGTTGGAAAAGTAAGTCCTTGCTCAGGACGTTGGAAACCATATTCTATAATGAATTCTCAAGTGTTTGCTAGATTTCAGAAATTAACCCCCCAAAAGTTTTATTTATAAAATATTTAATATGAAAACTAGCATATTAAAAAATTAGTAAACAACTGTGGAAAATCCAGTCACCAACTCAAAGAAAGTTATACTTAAGATTTTCACCCTGGTTCCTTAGGATTTTTTTTTTTAACTTTCAGGTTTTCGTAAATTATCACATAAGATATGAATTCAAATTGACAATCTTAACTTTGCCTTAATGGAATAATCTTTTGTATTTCAGAACTTTGACTTGTAGAATGAACAAACCTTAAATGTGTGATCTACATCTTACGGGTCTGAAATAAGTATAGCATACATTTGGGGTAATCACAATCTCGGAACCAATAACATTTTGACTCCACCATTTGCTATCTGTTCTGCCAATACTGTGGATATGGTACACAAATGAGTAAAATGATGTGAAAGAATTTTATTGATGATACATTAGACCAATCCTGGACAACAGAGCAATTCTTCAGTATTCTAAAATTGGTCACAATTTTATCACAGATCAGCTAGAATGAAATGCAAGTTATTTATTTTTATTTAATTTTCAAAGAGCATCACTAGCTAAACATAGTAAGCAACACAAAACTGATAATTGCTAAAACTGTACATAGTAAGATTTTTTCTAGAGAAAAAATTACTACAGGCATCCCTTAGGACTATAAAAAACTGCAAAACTGGTCAGAGAAAAATTAGACTTGGTAGAGAAATACAAAACAAAACTGACGATAACAAAAACTGCCCTAGTTTGTTAATGATTTAAAATTAACAGAAGAAACAAATCTTGATAATATTTTGATCTACCTAAGTGTATATACAAAAACTAAACTTGGAAAAAATACACACAAAAGAAAAGCTACAGTGGCAGCAGTTTAACTGACAAAAGTGTAATGTGAATTAAACTGAACAAGAAATCAACTCTTCATCAAAAACTTTACACTGATGACCCTGTGAAAATAACTTCAGGAATATAAAAATAAAAACAGAAAATATAAATCATTTATAACCATCATATATAAAAACTTGAGTTGGCTAAAAAAAAAATTAGCTCTGGAAAGCATTTTCCCAATGAAAATCTATCAGTGCTGGTATAAATGTGATTTCAATATTTGTTTTCTTTAATACAGGAGAAAGAAACCTTTGTGTCAAAACTTGAAGGTTAAAATATCAACAAAATCAATGTCAGTGCCAAAATATTCTGTACACAAATATTCACTGGAAATTGAATTGTCTTTTAAATATTACTTTTGAAATAATTCCTAGTAACAATCCAAATACAATGGTAGAATAAGGGCAATATTCTTACAGTTCTCTGAAAATGGTACTAATTCTTATATTCTTTTGCACAATTTATTAAACATTAATATAATAAATCTTAAACTACAAGAATCCCCTGAGGGACCCACTAGAAATTCTAATTCTGGACCCCATCATCCCCAGATTCTGACTTAGGTCCACTGTAGGGTCTAGGAATCTGCATTTTTAATACATACCTTGAAATAATCTCTTTGCATTTGAGAATTACATCCTGTTCTAAAGATGACACCCCCCTCCCCCGCCACACACACACACACACACACACACACACACACACACACACAC